CAGAGACCACAGCCTGAAGGGATGTCACATGTGCAGACCCCAGCAGCCGTTTTTCAGCACGAGCCCCCCCAGCACGAGCAGATTTACAGGACGAACCCTCCGAAAGCAGGAGGGATGTGAGCAGCAGCCCTCACCGCAGCAGAGCTCCCTGCCTGCGCGGCCGCAGTGTTGGGGGGAAGGACACCTGGGCTGAAGCCGCAGCTTGGGAAAGCTCTAAGAAATCACAGAGCAGCCCTGATGCCTCCCTGGGCTCTGGTCTGTGAACTGGAGCTGGTCGTACTTAACTTACAGGGCTGGCACATCAGAGATTTGGATGAGAAGCAAAATTGGGGTCCAGGGTGCGATTTTACACGTAAGAAAAGCTGCCTTTAGCATGCAAACAGGACCCTGATAAAGCATGGTGCAGATCGGTCTTTTGGGAGCCCAGATCTTCAAGCACTGCGAGGAACATCAGCCAGACAACAGAGATTTTAAAGAGCGAAACAAAGTAGTTGAGATCGAAAGTCCTCCCACTGAAAAAGAAGACAGAACACATGGGGAACAAGCTATCAGGGACTGCAAAACAGAGAAACAGCAGAATTGGAAATGGGATCTTTCTCCCTCAGGGAAGCTCAGAGGAGGGAAGTGAAGAGCCCAAGAGGTTTGGGATTGCACAACAGCAACCTGTGTGCGCTGGCTGTGAGCAGGATGTGAGCAGGCCGTTACGAACACGCACAGCACCCCGGCACTCCTTGCTGGGAATGCTTAATATTCAATAATTTAACTCCTTGTGGCTCAAGGGCAGGCAGATGGGCATGGGGCTGCTTTCTGGTAGACCTGGGGTTCCCGAAGCAGAGAGTTACCTTTTTCAAGCATTTATGTTTTCTGGCTGAAAAAAAATATCTGGTGAGAGAAACATGCTAAAGGGGCTGAGTAGAAGGCAGCATTTTTCTTCATTCTGTGCGGTTTTGACACATATTCTTTCTCTAGAACGGCCTTTGCAAAACCAGGTGATCCAGGCTGTCACCAACAGTTAAAATGTGGCTGCGAGGACAGCAGTATTGCAACAGGCATCAACCTGGGGACTGGCAACAGCAAGAGGGGGCACGGGAGTGAATTAGGGTGACAGAAAGGCCAGGGCTTGGGAAAACAGCATGGAACATGGAAAAATTGCTAAAAATGAGAAGGCAGGAAGCCAAATTCATTGCCCTGCGATTGCCAGCTCCGAGCAGGAGGCCTTTCGACGAGCTGCACCAGCTCACACCTCCTCAGGCACAAACACCCCCACCGAATTGGAACAACTGATGGAAAGCCACAAACTGCTGGTACCACAGGGGAAGAGCAGGGCCTTAGGCCTGCAAAAACTGGCAATGTAAGGTGAAATGCTAAAGCAAACATTGATTAGCACCCACATCTCTTGAAAAGAGGAGAAAAAACAAAAGCAACAAGACTCCATTGAATTACCCCTTCTGTTTTGGTGTGGGAGGGGGGTCAGATCCTTTCCCTGCGCCACATCGGGCAGTCACCTTAGCCACTAAACAAGCAGCAGGCCCTTTTGTCCAGCGCCATCCTGCCACAGCGCTGCCTCGCTCCCCGGTGCCTCACGGGATTAATAAACAAGCGGCTGAATCAATAGCGGCCTCTTGATCTCTGCCGGCCGCAAACAAGCCCGCACGACAGGCTGCAAACATGGCCTCTTTAGGCCAAAAGAAGCAACCGAGCGTTGCCCAGGGAGAAGTTCAGGCCCCAGTCCTCACCGTGTCTCACTTCAGGCTGCCCAAAAACTCCCAACACCTGTGGGGAAGCCTTCAGCTGTGCCTTGGGAAGGGGAGCACCGACCACATCTCCTCCTCCTACAATCTCCTTATTTTCTCCTCGAGTACCACATCACCTCCAGCCTTGACTCTCCCTGAAATCCAGGCTTGGCAGGAATGTTATCACGTTCTTCCTGACAGATTGGGAAATAATCTGAGCCCGTAGACTCAACGCAGGGGCCAGGGCACAAACATCACTCCCCTCCAGAGACGGCCTCAAGCTGCTCAGTTCCTCTCAGCAGGGAACTGTGCCAGACTCTGCACAGCGTGTGTAGAGAATGAAAGTAAATTAGGTCTGAACAAGATTAACAGGGATTTAATTGAACTGTGTGAACTGGAACTCCAGTCACGAGCTACTTATTAGTCTGTCTCGAGGGGCTGCGCTGTGTGCGCCGGGGGAGCACAAGGACTTATTGTGAGCCCCAGACCCGGGAAATGGCAGCGGCCACAGCTGGGGATGAGCGTGGCCTGAGGGGGAGATCTGCTAAAATACCATCAAAACCAACTCCCTGAAACCTCAGCTGGGCCGTGTTCCTTCAGAGCAGCGCCTGGCCTGTTTAGGGGAAGCAGCTCCCCCGCAGAGGCGGCGCAGCCCAGCCCCGGGCTCCCACACCAACCTGCTCTGGGCCCAGGCCGGCCTGGCGGCTGCTCCAGCCCTTCCCTTCTACAGGAGGGACTTAATGAGGGCTCCCTTTGGGATGGTAATTACAAAACAGCCTGAGGAAAGAAAGCTTGGGAATTAAAGGAGTTACCACCCAAGTCCTTCTCTCCTCTGGGTTTTGTGCTGAGGAACCAAGTGACACTAGCCCACCTGGCCTTTTCCTAGCCCAAGAACAGGCACCAGGCAGCTCCCAGCTCTGGCCACACCAGCATGAGCTGCTCACGCACCAAGGGGCTACAGAAAATCCCTGTTATCCGTCTACTGAATCTCCATCTAATCCCCTGCTAGTAGTATTAACAAATGTTGCCTTTATTATTATCTTCCCAGCGGCTCTTGGAGCCAAAACCTCCCATGGGAGGTGGGTTAACTTAGCCACAGCCCCATTTCCTCCCTCCAGGAAGATGAAGGGGCATTGGGAGATAGTTTGCTACTTCTGTGTCAAACACAAATATGCAAAGGCCTGAAAAGGTTAACTAACCAATTTCTCACAGATTAAGCAATATGAAAGACTTTCTCTTAATGGATCATTTTTTATGAAGAAGGTTATTTATGCCCCTTCCTATGTTCTGCATTTCTGGCAGGTTTCACAATGAATACGTAGAAAGAGGCAGCACAATTTTAAAAAGAGGGTTTTTTGTATGTGTGTGTTTTTTTTTTTTTTTTTAAAAAACAGATGTTCCAGTTTTATTTATTACACATTTCAAGAGAAATTAAAATACATGAGATACTGAAAATCTGTAAAAGATACTAAAAGTACAGCTAATGACAGCACTAAAGCAGGTATCAAGCTGTTAAGAGCCCTCCCCCCTCCCTAAAAAGAAGCAAACTCCCATAGTCACAATTTCTGTTTAACAATGAGTAACTATCTGAAACCTCTGAACAGCTACAATGCAATGTTGATGGCACAGCCTGCCATTTCAGGGTAACAACCATATGGGGTTTATCACTAACTAGTTGTTGGCCATGGAAGCATTTCAGGTAATATATCAATATTCATGATTCTGTTAGAACAAAGCAGTAAAACCCACCTTGAAGTCACCTGTAGAAAATCAGAGTTGTTAGAAGTAACCACGTGAACAGTTATGTACATTAATAAAATGGAGCAAATGATCTATGGTACCTATGTCTCAGAGAGCAGCAAGGGTTTTCTCTCCCCTGCAGATTGCAGGCAGGAACATCAGTCTTAGTAGGAAACTCAGAACAGCATTGGTCTTTGTTATGTGTGTGGGAAATTTTTAATTTTTTGTGCTCAGGACACATAGTAACCGTACAGTGCTTGGGTCCTTCGTGCTTTGCTCTGTACTGCTAGAATTGCCTTTATGTAGCTGAAAAAAAACAAAGGCTGCATTTAAAGCAGCATCAGTGAAAGCTGGATTTTAAGCAGTACAAACCTGCTGTCAGCATTCTGATTAGAGAAGTAGAGAACATGCAGCAGAGAAGCAGTGAGGGGTTATAATCAAAGTGGAACTGGGATCAGTCTGACTCACTCACCAAAAGCCAGAGAGAGGAGAAAATGTGGCCCTTCTCCACCATGAGGGCTGCTGAAAACCTGCTACTTGGCTTGTTGGAAAACACATGTAGTGCAATAGGACACCCATTGCTCCTGCAACAATGACACTGTGTTTGGGTTCACAAGGCGTCTGTGAACTGAGGATGGGAGTCAGCGTATGCAAAACTGATGGGAGACTTGCAGCCCTGACAGAGAGGATCCTTCAAAGCTCCTCTGAACCCTGGGTGCGCCTAAAACAGCAGGTTCTCCTCCCATTGACTCATTTGTGATCAAACAAACCAAGATGTGAGCTGGCACCAGGAAGCTTGAGCTGCCCTAGAGACTTTGTGGCTACGTCACCAGCTATCTGTTTCCCCTCCTGTCTAGCCATATTCAAATCTAATACTAGATTGTCCCTGGCCCTGGAGACCAGGGCTTGAAGGAACACAGTGTGCATGTCTCCTGCCATGTAGTCATGCTACGCAGCCAGCTTACCATGCCTTGGCTTTTAAAACACCACCTTTCCTCAGGCTGAGATTATATTTGCCTTCAGGAAGAATTCAATGAGAGGAGACACAGTACTATACCAGGTAACGCTAGGAGGGAGCTTGCAAATACAGCAAATCCAAGCTGTGTTGAAATGGAGCCCATGGTTAGGACTCAGCTGGATCAGAGGAGGATTAATCAGCAGCACAGCTAAGAAGTTTAAACAAGGCAAATGCAACAGTCAGACTCCCACCTCAGAGCAGCCTCTCTCTAATGTGCAGTACCTGGTCTCACCAAGTTTACAAGAACACCTCATTACCATGAGCATTAAATTCTGCACCCTTCAGAATTAAATTGTTCCCTGATTCTTGCATTCACTCCAGGCACCACCATGGTCCCACATCTCTGGAATCCTTTATACACACTTTCAAAATTGGGAGCAGAAATAAGAGACAGGGTGGGGATGAGAAGAAAGAGGTAGCAATGCTGGGGAAATGAAAGCTTTCATCTAAAGCAGTCTGGCATCTGATGAGTTGTTACTCATAAAGAATTAAAGAATATAACAAAGCCATTATTATTAAGCCATAAAATGCAGCTATGTATTTCAGGCAAGATGACAATACAGATGAATACAAAGCTGTGTAGTGTGGTATCCTTGATCCATTTGATCCCTCTGCTTTCAAAAATACAACTAAAAGTGGTATCTGCAGTAGCAAACCCACACTCCACCTTCCACAGGGACTTTAATGCAATCCTGGCCAGGGCAGAAGAGATAAGACCACAAGCCTTTCTACCCATCAGACAAGAGATAAGTCACTTTGATGATGACTGAAACATTAATCATGTCGAGTGAAGTCCTGGATACATGAAGCTCTCTTCGCTTGTTAGAAATCTATGCAGAAGCCCTCCCAGTCCACTCCCTTGTCCCCTGACAGGTAAAGAATGGCAGTGCCAGAAACCCATTTAACATATTTAGTTGCCTGTGATGTCATCTCGAAGGAAGCTTGATTACAGATGATATTGTGTCTTTTGAGGCTCATCAGCAAGGCCTTTATCGTTTCTTTTTCGTTTCCTTCTTGGGTTTCTTGCTCATCTGTGGAGCAGTTGCCTTTGGCTTCTTCACTACTTCTGAACTCTTAGGCTCAAAACTGTCCGAGTCCTGCAAGAATCAAGTAGGAGTCAGTCAGTAACATTTTAGCAGTTTGCTCACAGCTTGCCTCTCCCGCTCCCTGAGGATTTGAGTGTAGGCCAGAGGAAGGAAACAACAGGTCTAGATGCAAGTGCTGGGTATCGCTACTGGAGCACATCTATATCAAATAGAGTCCCTGCTTAATGAGATGGCAGCAGCACCATCTCCATTTCTTCCACATGTATATTTTGATGAGCATGAGTTTACGCACAGAAGCAGCCATTCATTATGCACCAAGGAAGCTATTACAAGCTTAAGTCTCTAAAACAGGCTTTGGAAAAACAAACAAACAGAGAAACAACTTTAAAGACTGGAAGAGAATCAGTACTAAGCAAAAACTAGACTGTTTCTGTACTGATTACAATTAGTGTGCACAGAAACATTCAGTAAGAATTCTGTAAAACGATGACCTTAATTGGTTGCAAGACAAAATAAAATCCAAAATGGTACTAAGAACAAAGTCCAGAGCTTCTAAACCATCACAAAATTCAGGAAAGGGAAAGCTCTCTTCACCTGGACTAGCAAGGAACGCTTAGATATCCTGCTTGTTCCCTTCAGACAAGATGACAGATAATATTTCAACCATGGGAACTACCACTGTAGTTATCTTGCAAAAACACAAGGGAACAGAGCCAGTCTCATCTGAGAAAGCACACACATGCAGATTGCTTCCTTTCATTAGCTGCGTTTGAGTATAAATATTGCTTTAGCATCTTGGTTTCCATCAGTCAGAGTGTGCCAACTGGAAAAGGACACAGGAAAAACGGCAGAGCAAGACGTGCTCATGTCGAGCTTCCAAGAGAGCGCTCCGTGCGATGGAGGGGGAGGCGAGCATCCAACTGCATCCTTTTCACCAAGGAGCTCGCTTCAAACATCTCGCAAGTTACGGGGCTATTATGATTCACATCTGTGTGGCTTTCCAAGGAAGGAGACTTGGCTGGCTTTCCAAAGGCTGTAATCGGTGCATGGGGAGCTGGCAGGCTCCGGAGAAATGGAGCAACTCACAGCTATTGCTCAGGAGTGCGGGCTGTGCTGCTGCCATAGGGTGAGCACTGCTGCCTTCTAATGTTCACCCAGGGTAATCTGCAAAGCAGGGAAACACTCAAGTTTCTACTCAGGGTAATCTGCAAAGATTGAAGCCCAAAGCAGGGAAACACTCAAGTTTCTACCTGAGCTCCAGTATCATTCCCAGGATCTGGAAGAATATCTTCCATTGTTTATGGTCTGGTAAATCAGTCACATGGGCGGTAAATCAAAAGGACAGTATATAGAGGAAGAAAAGAAAGTCCAGCAAGAGGACATCAAAGAAAGGCTTTAAATACCACCAGTTCCATAAGCTTTGCCATTTTAACTGGGGGCACGGCCTTCAGCTTCCTACTTCAAACTTCAGCTGTCACTCTTTTCAGCTCTCAAGAATTAGGCTATTCAGTATTTCCTGTAAATTTACCAGAGGGAACCATAAGCTCTGACAGGCAAGGTATAAAGGAAGGTCTATCTCTGCCTTCTGTGTTGCAGTATTTTAATTCCTCCAAACTATGCAGTGCTGGGCACACCTGCAAACGTCCTTCTTCATTCTGAAGCTCATCCTCAAGCACTCCTTTGCTGGACACATCTCTCTCACAAGCTTCTTTACTAACACATACTATTCGCTCATTTGAGATACTGATGGAGATTCCTAGGTTTACTCTGCACAAGATGGAGCAAAGACTGTAATAGAGACAGCCTTTAAAAGAACTTCCCATGCTGAGTTGTAACTGAAAACACTACTTCATACCATGTGCATTCAGACAGGAACTGCATCAAACCACCATACCCACTGCCTCATCACCAGCATCAAGGCATCTGTCCCCAGAATTAACTAAAGCGCAAGCCAGGTATATGCAGAGCACTCCACTGCAGCCCAATTTTCCATTTAGAGTAAATGGAAATGGAAAAAAATGGAAAAAATGGAAAATGGAATCAAACCTCAGCTCAGCCTTTCACTTTCTCCTGTATTCCCTGCAGCAAAAGGCTCCCCATGTCCCTGCGCCGAATGGCTAGTGATACTGAAAACCGCAGTCCTAACGCCCGAACTTTACCTGTTCCTGTAGGAAATTCCTGTAGGAATTTTACCTGTAACTTGTTTCCAAGAATCACAGACAGACTGGAGCCCCAAGTCATTTCAAAGACAGTTACTACAAAGGGAACATCTTGCTGGCCAATTAATGTAGCAAATCAACTTAGGATGACAATGTGAGCTTGGGAATAGTCTGTGCTTTCTTTGTGCAGTCAGGAAGACCGTGTTCATTCAGACCACCTGGGTCTTGCATCGGCACACCACTCTTTTTGGCTGACACTCAGACACTGGCTCAGCTGTTAGTTCCTGCCTTTCTAATTCGAGGTTAAGTCACAAGACAAAAGCCAGGGGAGGTGGGAAAGCTGAAAGGAAGGAAAGGGAATGAACTACAGAACCATCACCAATCCCAGAGCACCATGTCTCCATTAGTTACTTCAAGCTCTCTCACATCCTGTTTTCTGTGGCTCTGCCCATCACCATTAGTATGAAAGAGCAACACTTACTGTCTTGTGGGACTTGGAAACTGGTAGGATTATGGCTAACACACAGATAAGCTGGAAAATGGCTCCAAGGAAGAGTCCGTAGCGTAGCACATTCTCCATGAATGTGGGTTCAGGGATTTCAGGTGGAGAGAACTCCAGCTCGGCAGCCATGGTGCCTTCTTCTCCGCTAATGTTCTCAAGATGGCCAAATCCTAGAAGAGGAAACAACAACAAAAGAAAAAAGAGAGAAAACAGTTGAGTCATACTTTTGCCATTTACTTTCCACTGAGAAAAAAATTAGAGACTAACTTATATAGCCTTTTCTAAGATACTCTGAGGCTGCAAAATCAGTAACACAGAAGGAAATGTAACCACCCTCTATTTGGATGATTGTCTTTGACCACCTACCCAAGAAAAGAGTCCTCAGATGTTTGCAATTGCCAATTTGCAGGTAAAGGGAAGCCAAACCAAGCTTGACAGAGGTACTGACCACAAAACAATATGGGAAAAGCTCCTTTGCAATGGTCACACAGGAAGTTTGTGGAGAAGTTCAGCATCGATCTCCTGAGACTCAGGCCAGCCTCTCAGCCACAAAACCATCCCAATAAAACATTCCCAAACCATCTCCTTTGCTTTATCTTTTGTTAATGGAGCTGTCAAATCACTTTATGAATGACTAACTGCTTTCTATCCTAATAGTGAACTCTCCTGCCAAAATTGCTGCAGTGCTCCGCAGAAAGTGATACAAGGGAAACTCATTTAGTATGAGATGGCATCAGAACTTTGTTGTGATTTGTTTTACTCAGTTATCCTGATCTGTATCTGAGCAAGTCTATTTTTGCAGGGAAAGCCAACTGCTTATCTACAATAGACACAGGCAACTTAACGGAAAAGATCCTGGTGTGTCCCAATTGAATGAACACTGCTCATTTATAGGTACAGTTCCCTCTTATCCCTCACGTTACTGAAGCCTGTTTGCAAGATTTTGCCACGTACATGTTTCAGTTGAAGGGTCCATCTCCTAGAAATTCTCTCCAAATACTTTTTTCTCCTGTATTTGGCAGGCTGGGAGTAAACTTTTACAGTCTGCAGATGTGACCAAGTCAAAAAAAAAGATGGTAAAATGTGAGCAGAATTCAAGTAAAGCTACAGTTCATGAATTTGAGGATGAATCAACAACTCGGTGCTGTTGCACAAGAGACAAATGCAATTTGGTGACACGCTGAAAGGAATGGTGTAGGTAAGTTGGAAATAGCAAGCATTTTATTTTAATTCAGCTGAAGTACAGGATCTCATTTGGGGTACCACACTTTATAAGATTATACAGAAAGACACAGAATGAGGGTTAGTGTCACCCTTGTGCTGTGTTTTGTCTGGATTTAATTTGCTAGGATGCCTTTTGAAAGCTTCCTTCTTGCCCACCCTCTTCCTCCAGCCGCTCCGTTCTTCTCCTGGGGTTTTCTCCTATTGATACTCTGATTCATACACCTAAAATACCAGCTCACAAAAATAAATCCAAAAAGGGAACTGATGCACATGCAATCAAAACAAAAAGATCCCTATTCTCATAGCATGCACATCTCCCTTCCTTTCCCTCTTCCTATTTCACATCTCCCTAGGGCAGCAGCAATTCTCTAAAAAGTCCCCAGCGATGTGACAAGCACCACATGCTCTTGTGCAGCCTGGATCACCCCAATAAGGGCCACACCACGAAAAATACTCAGAAAAGATCTAACTGCCACCACATTGCACCCACCCACAGTAGCCAGCAGTCAGTTCCCAAGAGGTTCCTTAATTCTGCTGACATCAGTGGAGCTGAACTAATATTAACAAAAAAAGAAAAGAAAAAAAAATCCCTGCTTTAAAAAGACTCCTGTGGTTACCAAAAGGCCCAAACTTGCAAACTGGAGGGGTTTAACCTTATGCAAATCACTAGGCCAAAGTTAAATGAGGTCAAAGCTAAAATTGGAGAATTAGGGCCCCATGTCAGGCATGCCACCTTGTGCAGTGAATATAAAACATGAAAAATATGAGTTCTTCCAAGTTTTTTTTTTTGAGTGTAGGAGTAGGACTGAGGGTAAAGAGGAGAAGTAGGCTGAGGGTAAAGGGAGGTTAAAAAGGCAGATTAGGAGTGACAAAATTATCAGAATCTCATAGGTTACTGAAAGTCTTAGAGGTTACAGAGAAATGTCCTTTACATTTCCCCAAAACTTTTTCAATAATTTTGTGAAATATTATTGAAAGGAGGTAGAATTATTGTGAGTTATGCAACCGGAAGGTAAACATGGTCCTTGTTCAGGACATTTCCTGCAGTATCTGAGAGCTGTTACTGTCCCTACTTTGTCGCAAGGTCATTTCTGTCACTACCATCCAGATGCCTGTCCCTGGGTCTGTCTAAACAGGGTTTTCCCTGGGAGCAGGGGCCCACCCTGGTGCCTTCACCTCCCTCTCTGTTCCCTCTTGTTCTCCTCCCACTGCTTTTCGGTGTATTTTTCTCCCTTCAGCTCTCTCATTCCATCAGTTTATGGAATCCCATCAGTTTATCTCAGAAAGGAAACAAAGCGGGTAGGCCCACTCCAAAGTACTGCCGTTTGATTTTTCTTTTTTTAATTATGCTTGAATTGGTTTAGGTATTCATAACATTTGTCCTAAGCAGTATTTTGATACGTCGAAGGCACAGAAAGTCAAACTGTAAGTGATCTTGCCATGCATCCCCCTAAATATCCACTGAGCGGGAGGAGGGTGCAAAGTGATTCAGAGATCTCCCAAACCCGCCTGGATGCCACCCTGCACCCCGAGCTCCGGGTGGCCCTGCTGGAGCAGGGGGTTGGACGGGACGATCCCCAGAGGCCCCTTCCGCCCTCAACCACTCTGTGACTCTGTGATTACTGCAGGGGAGGCCCCAACACACAGACGCGACGGGTCGGCCTCCCCTTGGGGCGGGACAAGGCGCAAAAGCAGCAGCGGGGGGAGGCTCCTCCCGGAGCACGGGAGGGGGAAGCGCTGGGTGCCCCCAGGCCCCTCGTGGGTGGAAAGGGCAGAGGGCCCCGGGGGAACCCGCCCGCGCTCGTCGCTTCTGAAAGAGGCCGTTAGCCCCGCAGGGCTGGCAGAGCTGACAAGAGGCTCCGCACCCACCCCACCCGCGCCTCCGCCCGGCCTCGGCGCCGCCGGAAGTGCCTCCCGCCCCGCAGGAAGCGCTCCCCCTCCCGCCCCTAGCAACCGCCCGGGCCTCGCGTTGCTAAGGGCGGCTTGAGGCCTTCCCGCCCAGGGCCGCCATCCGCCTCGTACCACACGGCAGAGCACTCCTCTGTTACCATTATTAGCATTAATATCAATAATATCATTATTAATATTAATTCTCTCCCCCCAGGCTCAATATCCTGCCCCGAAATAGAGATATTCTGATAAGATGGGAGGAAAAAAGGAAAAAAAAAAAAATAAAAGGATGTGCTCCGTTTCTCTCTTCATGCCATTCAGAGCATCCCATTGCTTTGCCCTTTTCCTAGCCCTGCACTACCGCTAGAGCCAGGTGGGCTTCGCTGCTGGTTCCTGGGGAACCCTGCCCAGGGTTTGCCGTAATCGGGTATTTACCTGCTGGCAGGGCAAGCCTTTTGTAGTAAGAGGATTTGCTGGGCTGTTTCCAAGTGTTTGAAATAAACTGCTGTTAACACAAGTAATTTCAAGGGTTTGGAGCAATTGGATTAACACACTTTCATTTTTTTTTTCTAAAGAAGAGGGTTTCGCAGACCGCTGGGGAACGCGTATGTCTGTGAGCTACAGAGGACAGTGGCACTTGGGTGAAGAATTTCTGCTAGCAAAAAATAGCAAAGAAACAAACAAACAAAAAACACTTCTAAATAATTAGAGAGAGCCATCACTACCCATGGGTGAGGGTTAAACCCAGAGCTGTAGCGGGCCGCTACATTCTGCCCTTTCAGGGCTCAAACACAGACTGCTTAGGACACAAATATACCGAGGATCGAGAAATAATTCCCATCAGCTCCGAGGTGTCCCCTGTCCCGGCATCCCTGGGGAAGCGAGGGGACGCGGGTGGCCGTGCCGGGCTGTGTGCGCAGGCAGGTGGTGGCATTCGCCCGCGCTGGTGGCCTCCCGTCCAGCCGCCTCCGTTTGAGATGACTGGGAAACGGTGGGGAAGGGAGCTGGTTGTAGGAGGGCGCGTAATGACCAATGACCTGGCAAAGCCGAGGAAATCCGAGCGGCTTTCAAAGCTCAAATTGATTCTAGAACAATAAGTGGTAATGTTATCAGCACCCCCTTCTAAGCAGGGATAACAGCTCAGTGATAAAGCCTTTCACCAGGTCCAAATCGTCTTTAACTTTATTGTTTATTCCTAATTTTCTTCTTTTGATTGCACTGCAATATTTCTCCAGGATTTGCAGTAGGAACTTTTTATTATCATACCTTTTATGTATACCATAGCATTGCACAGCAAGAACTTTTTATCCTGAAGTTTTCATATTATTAGGCAGGGAAAAAATAAGTCAAACTAGTTTTTCTGATCTTATTGGAAAATCTGTGGCTGTTCTCACTCCCTGATCATTAACTACATTTTGCTTTGTAGATAAGAGTAACACATCTCACTCAAACTGTGGTTTTCACCAGAAGCTCTCCAGGTGCTTTCTGGCCACGTCCATCGGGGCAGCATTTGGATTTCAAACTCACACCGATTCCCCAGGGAAGCCTCCTGCCAGCCCAGTGATGGGAAGGGGTTTTGGGGGGCAGTTACTGGAGCTCTCTGAGCAGGGGCTGGTTATTAAGGGGCTCTCTCCTTTGCTGCCTCTGCATCCGTGGCGTTCTCAGTGCTTCCAAAAACCAGGACTGAGACCCTTGAACGGAGCAGCCAGAAATGTAGGAGCCAGTAACTCTCCAGTGACTGTCACGCTGATGTCTGGCTGAAACTCTGGAGAGTTCATACGGGCGATGCCAAAACACTCCTGCAGCTCTGCTAGGAGCTGAGCAGAGCCAGACAGGTCCCAGCTCTATAAATGCAGCTCGCACAGAGCACATCAGGCCTCCTGGCAGATGCACGTCTTGCAGGCTGGTGCCGCTTGGTCTGTTGCAGTCTCAGTGATATGCTTGAAGATTTAGTAGGCTTTTCAAACGAGCTTTTAGCTCTCCGAGACAGTCCTTCTTATGAGCGCTTTCTTGCA